TCATAAAAAAGTTGCTATACTTACAAGTTTTTCCTTAATTTGAAGATATAAGTCTACTTTTTCTACTTCACTTTTTTCTTGAGTCCATGAAGACACATCCTAATGTAATACACAGTATGATGGATGCTGTCATTAGCTTCAGTAGAATAATAAAATGCTATTTGCTTTGCTTTAAAAATCAKCAGCTGTCTTGTACTTACTGCTAAGCCCAATGCCTCTAGGTGGAGAACCTTGAGTTTTTGCACAATTTCTCTTTGTCTATGCAAAAGCCATCCTTCAAAGTTTGGGCTTTTGAAGAATYGTCGATAAAGTAGAATCCAGTTCCCCTTGTGTTTTGATGTCAGTTGTGGACCAGCCTGATCCAACGTCCCCAAGAATTCCTCGACATCAAATGGCTTTAATCGTGGCGGTCGTTTCCATGGTGAAATACTTTTCTGAAGGGGCATCAAACTTGCAACATAACGTTCCTACCAGAAAAATATATTGTATAAAATATAGCTTAACAAACACCCAGTCATGATTATATGACTATATTTACTCACCAGTGGAATCATAAAACTTTGTGTTAGTTCAACCATGTGTCGTCGTAGGATTGCATTCTGCACCTCTGGTGGTCTCTTTGGATGGTTGCCCTTGCTTAGCTTTCTTAGAATTGTTTTATCTCTAGTTAGCATTGGTTTATACTTGGTGTATATACCTGGCTTTGACGACATGGTTCGTTTGTTGGATTGACCAATTGCTGGTGATTTTCTGTTTGATATTACTAAAAAAACATTTGCATTTTTAATTAAATAAAATTGGAAACCTGAACTTTGAAAATCTCTGAATGTATTTCTGATATTTTTCAAAAAAAGCAGGATAACATACCTAAGTTGGACATCTCCCCTACTCTTACAACATGTGGCCAGTGTTGCAGAGTTTTWGCAAAGAAGGGATTTGTTACACCAAGAATAACAGTTGGACTAAAACAAATGGATGGTTAAATGGATGGATGAATRAATGGGAGTAATGCATGGCTGATTGAATGGTTGAATGAAAACACMAAAGAAGGAAAGAAGGAAACACAACGTCAGTAAGAATAGATTAAATAGATAAAGGAGTACAGTAAATGAATAAACAAGTGCATTGATATATAAGCTAACTGTCAAAATATACAAATTCAATTGAGAATAACTTACGGGGCCTGTGTTCTTGTAGTGTATTCCTTGAATTCACTATCATGTATGGTAAAGAACGGCCTGTAGTCTGAGCAGTAGTATAGCGGCGATATTAAACTGAAATTAACACATAAATATATAWGAAAGATGCTTTCAACCTTAAGATAATTTTCTTGTCTTACTTGGCAAGAGCCTGGACTGTTCTGGAGCACATACTTGGTGTGGGGGCCATTACTACAATAGGCTGTAGAAAAACAAAATGTCATGTGAATAGCCAATCATCTTGGATGTATCAATTAATCAATCATGCAAGCTTGGAGTTCCCAAGGTCAGGAAAAGTCAGTGACTTTTACTTTGCTATCTATTATAAGATAAACGAGAATTAATCCTGTGTAATACAATAATCCTTTACCTCATTGACCAGAACAAGTTCCCAGAGAAGATGGACATGAGCCAGAACAGGCTGCAGGCTCCTGGGTAACACAAAAACCATTTTGTTCAGTAAGGAAATGTGAGTAATCATGCAACAATAGACTGGACAAAGAGAAGAAGAAAGAAACTTAGAAAGAAAGAAAGAAAGAACAATAATTTGTTCTGGCTTGAATTCTGAAATGAAAAATTCACTTACTTAAAGATGTCAGGTTCATTGAGTGTTGGAATGACTTTAGGACTTGGTATTGGAGACTAAAAATAATTCATAGTATTTCAGATTAGTACTTTTTATATCATTATGAAAAGATAACAAAAGAAAACACRCGGATGTTGYTACTGTGACGTTTCGTCATAAAGGGGATTGATTTTCAYTGGTGTTGAAAGACTTCCCTACCCTACCCAACACAGYAGTCTCTACYTCCTTCCCTACCCCTAACAGGATTAATAACCTACCATGAGATTGATATTGATTGGACCATCGGGTGACGATACAGCACCAGGCTTATCTCTTCTTGATGGTACTCTTACCTGGACAATGACAAAGAGTGACCAATTGAAGSGATAAAAGAGAATGGAAGCAAGAGATGAATGATAAATTCARAGCACTGCAAAAAAGTAAACAAGYTKGATAAAGAAAGTACCTGAAGAACAGTCCCCATCAGGGGTAACTGAATAGTGTGACCTCCATCAGGTGCTGGCCATTGGTCAATATTGTGACAAGCTACAAAAGAAATTACAACARTTCATTGCACAATGGAAATCACAAGAAGGAAATAGTATAATTAATTTGATAATGTAATAAGAAGTATGAAATTATTAAAACTGACCTGCTTCTAAAGAAAGCACTCCATTCTCAAAAAATCCAGGAGCCATGATTTTGACCTGAAAAAATATACAATTCTTATAAATAATACAAATGATGATTTAAGGTGGTGTTTATAATATAATTAAGACTTAAGATTAAATAGACAAACAACTATTGTTACATACCACTTCAGTGAATAGGTTAACATATGGAAGCCTGGACAGTAATACTAATGACTGCAAAAAGAACAATGTTACAATTAATTAGTACATATCACACACTTATGAATATTCTGAAAATGAAATGTGGTCAAACAGCAAAGTTATCAATAATTCAACACACCTTTTGAAAATATCCACGCTGTATAGTGGGATCTTTTACTTGCCGAAAATAAACAAAGCCATAAAAATGTGCTGGATCACTCTGCAGAAAAGAGAGATTTTCTTGATAACATGAAGAGAGAAAACTCTTATCATTAAATACTGCCATTCTTACTCTGAATCCTAAAGGAACTTCAAGTTCATGTTTTCTACATGATGATGTCTTTCCAGCAGTTTGTGGACTACATCTTATTCTGAAGTGGAAATCAGTATCTCCCATGCATCCTAAACAACAGACAAAAATACTTTATTAAGAAACATTGCGTGTTGCATTTAAACAATGATTTTGATCAAATAGTAAGCAGTAAATATTTATAGTGCAAACGCAAAAAGTACAAAAAAAACTGACCAAATCCAGGTACTAAATAACCCAATATAGTGTAGATAAGACAATAAAAAAATATTGATTAATAAAGTATTTCAGTGTAATAAAGTATGTTTCAGTCTTTGCATTCATCATATGTTATTGTCAAAATACCTTTAATGTTAATGTATTAATGAGCAAAAGTCTTTTGAATTATGCCCAAGAAAGAGGTTAGCTTAATTCCTCATACATTTCTTTAATTTTATTTTTCTTCTTTCTTTCCTTTTTTTTCATAAAGCTAATATAATAAAATATTATTGAATGTTACCTGAATTTGAATCAGGAAATGCAAGATAGCATATATTGGTTTTCTGAAACAGGATTCACATAGTACTTGATCATTATATAGATCATGTTTAAACACATTCTATAACTAGAGGTACTGATAAAAACAAAAATATTGTTGACATATGAAGTTGTGTATGTAGGAAATGATGGAATTTTGCTATGGCATGATATTGTTATGAGAAATTTGATACTTGATTGTTTATATGTTTATTATTTCAAACCAGACMGCATTTAAAGGGCTTCCTAGCATTTGATAGATTTCACGGAAGTCAGTCCAATATGTCTGTATTTATTCACTCATACATGAGATTTATTCCCCTGCCATATGAATGAATGATTTGCAGTACATTGTAAGATCTTTTATAACAAACAGCTTTGATCTTCTTTTGTGAAATTAAAATAAATGAGATAATAATCATATTTTTATTGCCATAATAAAAAAAATCGTTTTAAAAAAAAGTTGTGAAGCAATTATCTATAAATTTGTTGAAGTCGAATGAATTGAAAACGACTATTATTATTTGCCGATGAAGAACAACACATGTCGAAGAATGATTTTTTCACACGAGTCACATTCCCTATCTGAACAATCTAAAACGCGTAAATAAATGTAAAAAACCTACCTCTTTCTCTGTTAATTCAATGTGGCTAGGATAAATCATCTAGKTACAAGAAAAACAAGGCGTTTTGATAACATAAATATAMGGGAGTTCGTCTTCACCTTTCGACACGGGTACCAAAAACTGTACAACTTTTGACATTAACTTTAAACCCTCTCACCTCCATTGCTTGTCCTACTTCAATATCAAACGTTACCACACAAAAGCATGTTATCCATCGTCTAAAACGATCCCAGGGAAGAACAGGGGCCTCCAATGAAGAAGAAGATAGCTCTTCTTCATCACACATGGCCGCCATGTTGCCTGACTAATTTTCCCGACCAGACTGTTTCCGGTTACGTAAATTGCGTCACTTCCGGTGTTATGATTCTGAAGCAAACATTGGAAGTGATCAGCTAGTTGGTGACAGCAAGGATCGAATTTGCCACTTTTTGMTGCGTTTTGTGCTGTAAATTTCGCGGTATACCGATAAGTAGTTCTATTTGAGATAAAGGAATGCAACATGACTAGTTAGTCCAAGTTTGTTTATCAAATTTTCGCTATAATTTTACCACCACGTGGATACAAACAACAAAATGGCGTCTCACAAACAAGACAAATCCAGTATTAAGCCCAATTCTAAAGATCTGATGGATTTTCCTATGATGAGTGGTAAGTATATTTTGTAAATGCTGCAGAATCTATAATAAATTTGATTTGATCATCTAACTCAGCACCATCGTTCATATGCTATGATATATTTTATAAAAATTAAACTTTGATCCTTGTGGGGATACTAAATAATCACATCTTTCCTATCTCTAGCATCATTAAGATCAAAGCTAATGTTGTCTGAGCAGACAAGGAAATCCAAAGGCCCACCAAAGACTTTTAAAGTTGGAAAATCTTCAGGTATATATGCTGCATGCAGTCTTAGACATCCCCAAGCAATGCTGCACTGAACACTATTAGTACATTTGCATTGTGGGGCTAAATAATTGCACTCTGCAAACTKAGTTACTAAACTCCCACCTTTTCAGTGAATGAGAAAAGTGGTTCTATYGTTACATCATMCTTGGGAACCCAYGGGTAATCTTCTGTTGTTCGTTCCTCAMTCCCTGGGGATGTCTTTACATCAAACTTTGTAGAGATTTCATATTTAGTATTTTGATTTGATGTATCTAGTTCTTGACAGAGTGCAAACATTTCTACCATTAATGGCGGAAGCTGACCAAAAACTTAAAGAAGATTTGCAAAGTTTGCCATCAGGATCCTTGAATATTGAGAATGTTAAAGAGGATCAGGAACATGTTGAAATGGTTGGTAATAGAAAATTAATAATGCCTGTTTCATTGCATTGTTAACCCTAATATGTCACAATGGCTTAATTTTTTTGGAAATTTTGACGTTCTTGATGTAAATATCTTTAGTCTTCTTGCAACCATTTTTAATCTTGGTCACGCAATGCACCTTGATTAAAATTAATCAGTTGTGAGTAGACTAAGACTAATGACCAACTTTTTCTTTGTGGTACTGGTAACATTTTCTTACTTTCACYGATATTTTTCTTTTACCAGAGCCTGGCACTAGTTGARAATGATTATGATGATAGTGAACCATCTAGTGAGTCATCTTGCAGTGAAGAAGAAAGCGACAGTGAAGATATTAAGACTGAATATATTGATAATGGAAAAGTTACAGAGGACAATCTTGTTTTAAAGAAACCTAGCCAGAAGCCAGTAATTGAAATATTGAAAAATGGCAAAAGCAGTCCTGATGTATGATAGTGATATGGATAACATTAATGATTAATATTGTATATATTCTATACTATCAATTTCTGCACTTCTTTAATGTCCATTTTTTCATAAACTCATAGTGTCAATAGCAGACATTTTAGTGGTAATTTTAATGGTTGAGTTCTGGCTCGAGAGCTAATGTGCTAAATATGTCTGCCATGGAGAATGGATGAGTTGCCAGTAACCAGGCCCTCTCATTATTACAATGCATTCTGTGTATGCCAAGGGGCAAACAACACGATGCGAGTAAGATAAAGTATGAGGATTTTGTTGTCAGCGTGCTTTTACTTCATTTTATAAGTATTTTGGAAAAGAATGCATTGTAATAACGAGAGGGCCTGGTTACTGGCAACTCATTCATTTGATTACAATGCCATTATGGTATAAGAATATTAGCTCTAACTTTTATTATAATAAACTCAATAAAACTCTTTAGTTTTTTTAATGCCTCGTTTTTATTATTTAGTTAATAAGATTTTATCTCCTGGACTGTCCAATAAACAGCTGATTATGCGTGACTATGTCGTTGCCAAGGGAACGTAGCCAAATATGGCACGCTCGAACAATACCAATTTTGTTTACCCGGCTAAAGTAATTATTGTAATTCCACAAATCTGCGAGAGTGTGGTCTGAATTTTGGCAGAGACTATCAATGAAATGTTAACATTCTGTTGACGAAGAGTTCCTCAGGGAAGCCTGGTTTTAAAATGGTAAGTTTTGCAGTCGTATTAGTAATACAAAAGCTAGTTTGACTTCGTATTTTGTTTACTCGTCGCACGGCGTGATTCCTTTGTCGTTTAGTAATAAACCCTTACGTTTTGTATTGTATATCGTAGCCTGGGAAAACCAAGAAGTCTGCTAAAGGAAGAAGTAGAAGTAGCAGTCGTAGTCCATCTAGAAAAGGCAAGAAAAGTGGCAAGAAATCGCGATCTCCTTCGCCTTCCGCAAAGTCAAAGAAGCCGGTAGACTTGTTGAGTCCCGACGCCATGGTCAATGGTTACTACATATCGCATAATGCTGAGCAATTCCTTGGATTTCGAGGTTTTGGATATGAAGGAGCTGGAGGTGGAAAGAAAAAGAAGAAGGGTAAAGGAAAGAAGAAGAAGAAATAGTAATATTGATTTCTGTAATGGACAAGAAATTGACATACACAGCTGTTGGTTGTTGATGATAGAACTTATAGAAGGACTTCCATGCGGAAATTCCATTTAACATATAAACGCATCGTGTAGGAACATCTTCAAGTTTATTGACCACGATATTGCACCTTCATATTCACGGTGAAGAGCAGAAAGGAAAAAAATAAAGAGAAAGCAACAACTTTACTGATAATTGAAACATATTAGCACGTATTCCTTCTGAGAACTTTATATATATGGAAAAGTCACGTGAAGCGCATGGTGATTTTTAGAACAGACGAGAAATGGACTGAAAGCCAGAATTTGTCGTAAAAATGAGGTTGTTGTAAAAAATGTGTATCATAGCAGTGAGTCTACACTTGCTACACTACACTCCAATTTTTTGCAGTGAAATTCCTAGTGAAATTTTGCAAACATTTTCAGAATTTTATAAAAGAAATAAAGAAATTATTGAACTTGGGCGTAGTAGTTTTAGATTTTTATCTTACTCCATAAAAGAACAAGTAAGTTTCATATAAATAAATTTGTGGATTTGTATGAAAGTAAACGTAAAAGTTGTCTTCCAAAATCCAGTTTCCATTTGAAAAAAATCCAGGCTAATATTTCCAAAAAGGACACCGAAGTCCCGAGCGGAACGCCTTTCATCGGAAATGGGAGCGGAAATACCACGAACTGTCGTCGAAATTTTAACGAAAGTTTTCGGTCTAGCTCGTTGCCCATCGTGTTATCGAAACACTAGCGAGCTTTTTCCGAGAGTCGCGGAGATAGAACGAAAAGCCCTGATGTCCACCCCGCAGCATATCTTTGTTCGGCACATGCGTCCTTGATTCAAGGATCGCTTCGGTTCTATTGAGCAGCCGCCATCGTTCTTCACGCGCACGTCGAGGGAGCAGCTTCTTTGCGCAGATTCAGAACCTTTCCCCAGTAGTTCGCTTCCATACTACAACCAGGTACTGTTGATGTATTATTGTTTACGTGTGTGGTATTTTCAGTTAATATGGAACGAAGTTTATCTTGTTTGAACGTAAGTATTTTCGACTATCGTTAATCGAACTAGAACTAACAGAAGAGCGAAAAGAATCGAGAAATCGGTGATTTTGAGCGCCGAAAATGGACAAATACTAGTCTCTGTAGTGTCATTTTGATGTCAAAATGAGTCAAAACAATCTATAAACGTGTGAACTATATTTTCAAGTGAAATTTGTTTGATTTCTTCAAGAAATACTTGCTTTATCGGATCACAGAACTCTTGAGATTTAGTACAAGCAAGCTTACGTTGATCGTTAGAATTATAAATGGCGGTGTGGAAGGACAACTCATTAACGGTAATTTTTTAACATTAATCTTTTTTTTTTCTTCAGCAAACTGGCACAAGAGGTGGAATCTCTTCACCATCAGGGTCTTTCCCCCAGTTTATCTCAAACCATGATGTCCCATTCGATGTCTCAGCCTATGATCAGCCAGTCAGTTAGCCAGATGGGCCAGGTTCTTACAGACTCGCATACAATGACACATCAAACAATCAATCAACAGATGAATCAAAGTCTGTCAGATTCCCACTCAATGAATCAATCCATAGGACAGCAGATGGATTATAAAGACAGTCAGGGTCTTTCTGATGACGAACCATCTTCACCCGAATCACCTTATGTTGATGGCACAGATCTTCTGTCTACAACAGTTCATGATGAAGTAACAGCACAACTAGCTGCTGCTGGCCCTGTTGGTGTTGCTGCTGCTGCTGCCATTGCTACTGGTAAAAAGAGAAAACGGCCTCACTGCTTTGAAACCAATCCATCTATCCGCAAACGACAACAAACAAGATTACTTCGCAAACTGAGGGCAACTATTGATGAGTATACCACTAGAGTTGGCCAGCAAGCTGTGGTATTGGTAGTTTGTCCAGGAAAGCCTAATCCTATGTATAAAGTATTTGGTGCTATTCCATTAGAGAACGTGATCAGGAATATGAAACAGCTTATTCTACAGGATCTAGAGAGTGCCTTAGCTGAGCATGCTCCTCCACATATGCCTGAGAATCCAGATTGTTACACTCTTCCTCCAGTTGTTATTGATGGTATACCAACTCCAGTCGACAAGATGACACAAGCCCAATTGAGAATGTTTATTCCAATGATGCTGCGCTTTTCAACTGGTAGAGGGAAACCAGGATGGGGAAAGGAATCCACACGTCCGCCTTGGTGGCCTGCTGATGTTCCCTGGCAGAATGTGCGCAGCGATGTCCGTGCTGAAGACCAGAAAGCTAAAGTTTCTTGGACCAATTCTCTGAGACAGATTGTTAAGAATTGCTACAAGTACCATGGAAGAGAAGACTTGTTGCCTGTGTTCACAGAACATGAGGCAGCTCATCCACCACAGTTTGCTCATGGCCAGCAGATGGTCCATACTATATCCAATGCTGATGGTACTGTCTCTCTTATACAAGTGGATGCATCAGGAGCAGTTAGTACTCTGGAAGGCCACAGTTCACAGAATGAAGCCAATCAAGCTGTTGCAACGCTTGCTGAAGTAGCTGCAGCAACTCAAGCTGAAGTTTGTCTGACCAACCACCACCACATGGAGCATAGTGATCTTTCACATTCAGAAGCTGCTGCTCAGGCTGCTGTAGCAACACTTGCTGAAGCTACACTGTCAGAGGGAGGCCAGATAGTACTACCTGAGCATGCTGCAGCAGCATTATCTGGTGTCCAGGATGGGATGGTTAGCATACCGGTCCAGGCTGCAGCATCACTAATGCAGATTCAAGGCCATATGTTAAACAATAATCAGACTCATTACATTACCTCAACTACTGGAGTACCACAAGTTGCTATGGCACCACACACCATTATAACTGTCACATCCTCCAATCAAGCAGAGTCCCACACACATATTGTGGACAGTACTGAGGGTGTACCAGTAGCTACCCAAGCTGTAGAGGTTGTGACTCTTGAAAATGCCCATGAACACTTAAACTTGCAACAAAGTGACACTTGACAAAGACATCTAAGATGGACTGCCTCAAGACATTGTTAATGACTCGGAACACGCTGTAGACAAAGCTTGATGCAAGCTGTGAAGCAATGATAACGTGAGCATGATTGGTAACATAAACAAAAATCTTGCATATGAGGACATTGTTACTCAACAAGAACTACCAATGAACATAGAAATGACTGTACAGATTATAGTTGACACTGATTTTAACCATGGCAGCAGCTTTTATCTTTAATGCCTTTGGCATTATCACTAATTGAACTCCAATGAGTTCGTACAAAACTATTTAAATTATTTATTTTAAATGTTCTGATCCCAGTGGAACAATCATGATTTTGTCCATTTTTTTCTTCAATTACAAGATGTAAAATAATAGTCTCACTACTACCATTAAAAGATGTTTGAATCAAAATTGTTTTGTTCTGTATTCGGCTTATGTATGTTTGAACCATTGAGCCTGTGAATGAAGAAGGCAATAGCAGATTTTTACTCACGCACACACTTCAAAATTATGTTGAGAATTGAGGTGTTATATAGAGCATCAAAAGAAGTAGCTGAAAATAAGTATTTGTTTTCATTGTTAGTGGGAATACACATCTAAAACCCTCCATAAAACTTAAAAACCTGTACGGCCAAAAGGTTCATTTCAAGCTCTATTTACATTAGGTTCTCAATTTCTTCACGGGAGAATCTACGTAGCACTCAGTTGATGTAATATATTCATAAAGATATAATACAAAACACAAATTGTGTATTATACAATAGAACGAGAAACAATGGAATACAATACATTTAATGAATACATTACATCAACTGCGTGCTAYGTAGGTCACCCCATTTCTTCACAAATCTTTGAAAGTATACAACAAGGAGCTAAACTGGAGCTTCATCAAAAAGATTTGTGAAAATAACTACAAACTGGTGTGCAGGAAAGGTGAGCATGAATGATAGACAAGAGAAAAGAGCATTGCTATAAAGTGGCAATTTATTTCACATTTAATAGTACATTTGGTTGCCAGCACCACATTAAATGCTAGAACAATAATAACAGATTAGTTTTTTTTTTTTTTAATTATTACTGTTCGTAATTTATTCACACATAAATTGATATTTATTGTGAAAACATCCACTAAGTACTTGTCCACTAAAAGGTTTTTTTTTATAATAACCTGTCTTTTTATCTATTGCTATTAACTGTGCTTTTGCAAATTACAAAATATTGATTTATACTCAGGGCTGTTAACGAATGTCTGATTGCATAGGAAATTGATTTCGGAGATTTAAAGCATTGCATACTCTGTCTCAATTTGCAGAGTAAGTGTGCATGGAAGAATTTAAAATACTGATATACCATAGCAGACAGCAAGAAATTATTGACTCTTGTGTAGCTTTCTTAGGCCGCCAGGAAAAGTGTTAGCATTGCAAATCCTATCATGCATTATAACGTTAGAATTGTAAGCAAGAATTCTAAGCATTAAATATAGTATGTAAGCATATTTCTAACTTGAATTGGATCTCATTCACAATAAGTTTATCAAAACTACAAACAACATTGTGATGGCAACACAAGTTGGTCAGTCTAACTTTAACTTACACTAAGAACTCACTACGGACACTAGAAGAAATAATTATATCATGAAATAATAACTAACAATTGATGTAATCAAGATGTCACTAGTTAGAGTAGAAGTCTGCAGCAGCAATGGCAACAAATGCAGCCGTAAGCAACTTAGATTATATGTTGTGGATTCTAGTGTTAGTATACTGCTACATATTACTATTATGCCATCTGTTGCATCAAAGCAATGGCTGAATGATAAAGGTTTTTCTATTTGACCTTAGATACAAACAATTTCTTGGTTGAACAAGAATCCTATCAATTGTAATTGTACAGAAAATTTGGAAGCCACAATTAAGACATATATCCTAGTGAATTTGGTAAGCTATACTAGAATAAAAAACATTAAAACTTCATGTGATTCAAAATACTCTCATTAAGCACATTCAAGACTGTTTCAGCAAAACTTAAATAAAATTGGTAAATCGGATTAATAAGTACGAGAAGAGAGCAATGATAACAATATACTTATGAAATAGCGAACAAAATGGTTCTAATTATTATTTCCCTTTTTTTCTATTATTCCTTATTGTCTAATATATGCTATCTAATAGAAATTATTAACACTATTTCACAGGTATACTGTTTGTAAATCAAGTAGTTTTAGATTAAAGAACAATATTTCACAATTCTTTTACAGACATAGAATTATTAGTTTTCAGACAGCATTAAGCTATTGAGGATGAAAAAAGATTTGTCATTGGAATGTTGACAAAGAACAAAACAAATTTCAAATGATTTGAAAGGCAAGCCTTTGAACAGTATTTTTACATTGCATCTACATGTCCAAGTGATAAAATAGTATAAAAGATACTATACACAGTGTTCCTAAGTGTTCCATTAGAATGGCAAAAGTACAATTAAACTTCATTATTTGTTTACTTGTTAAACATCAATTATACCAAAATATATAAATCACAGACAAAATCAGAAAGTTTTTAAATAGTTTTTTTTTTTGATTAGCAACATAGGTGTTGCTTTCCTATCACTGGGGCAATCACGTCTGTAATCAAATACAAAGTAGAGTTTTCAAAAAAGATTTTAAATAGTTGAAGAACTAGCTTGTATAGATGCAATGGAAAAGAAGATATTTTGGCAAATGATAAATATTATTATAGCTCTACGACCAGTTTAAATTTACAGCATAACCTTGGAAGAACAGGCTCTGCTACAGAAGGAATTTAATATCTGTGGAAAATAAGAAAAAAGTTAACAAAAAAAGCCCAATATACTTACACAAAGAAATGTATCACTTYGCATCTGTTCATTAKTCAACTTTGCAAAAACAAACAATATCATTTTGTCTTGCCACATAGAATTATCATCAAACCATGTGGGAACTTTATATGCTTAGAATGTGACTACTGAGCATGCTCAATAAGGCCTTACCTGTAGTAATTTGGCTTGAATGGTCCTGTTTTGTTKACACCCAAGTATTTAGCTTGATCATCACTTAACTCAGTTAAATGTGCATCAAACGTTGGCAGATGAAGCATTGCAACATATTCATCTGAAATGTTCACAAATAGAAAACATTCTCAGTTGATTTTGGCAACATTGAAAGGACTAGGGACCGTTTTTTAAGAACTCAAGTAGAATAATACATGATAAAACTCACCCATTTTCTTTGGCAAGAGGTATACATCATGTTTGTATCTTCCAGGGGGGGCCTTGTATAACTCAATTAATGCTATGGCCTGAAACATGATCAATATCATTATTAGACATGAATGCTTCAATAATGTATGATTTAAACCACTTGACATTTAATTGAGATCGGGGATTATTACAAGATTTGGTCCAAATCAGCAGATCCTTCMTTAATTCAAAAGAAAATACATAAAATGGGTTACCTGTGTTGTTGCTGTAATGGATACTACAAAAGATGGTACACTTGAACAGCTTAAGTTGACCAGACGACCCTGTAGAAATTAAAATATGATTATGATATAGAAATACTAAATAGAAAATGACCAAGCAGATCCGGAGATGATTAGGGAGCAGCCCTTATTGCTGTCTTGAGTGAGTTTGTATAATATGATTTAATCACCTCAGCGAGAAGAACTATTCTCTTTCCATCTGGCCAGATTATGTGATCAACTTGAGTTCTGACTTTTTCCCAGGTAAGATCAGAAGTTCTAAGGCTTGCCTAAGAATAAAATGTCAAGAAAACAAATTAGAATGATTTATTGACATGAAATTAAAAGTAAGCAAATAGATACGAGTATAATGCACTACAACCTTGAACTAATACTACCGAAAGATATTGAATACCGTTATTATAAAATATTATATTATAGCTATTATAGCACATGCTCTCAGATGGGTCAAATGTTATTGTTTATTTCACCGGTAAAAGCACGGATGAAAAAATGCTATTAAATAAACAAAGGAATTAGCATAATTTAACACTTAGAGTGACTGCACTTGCAACTAGTTAAATCTAAGTAGTACTAATTGGTACTAAAAGTGGACCTGAAGCAAGACTSTATTGAAAACACTTGTATCAATTCAATTTAATTTGCATACCACATACATGATTTACTAAATACAACTAMATAGCACTGTTAAGTTTGTACAGTTGCATGGTTTAAGTGCTATCACTCTATTTTGAACTCTATTTATTATTCTCCACTAGCAAGTAAATCTTACCACATCAATTTCCGTGTTGGAGTGTCCCATATTACACACTATACAACCATTCTTTAACCTATCTAGATGTTCTCTTGTCACGACATGTTTATTGCCTTGAAAACAGATATATAACATCATCATTCATTATTTAAGCCATTATATAAAATAAAAAACATCTTTTGTCAAGTCATTTTCAATGTTTTATAATTGGAAAGAAAGAAGGAAACTTCAAACTAGCTTGATAACAGGGCTTTGATTCAAACTTGTGACATTACAGATACCAGTTGTCTACTCTAGCCTCTGAGCTAGAAGGAGCTATGGCGCTATCAACAAAGCTTCAATGCGTCTTTTGTTTACAGCAATATGCAGAAATTCTGACCACTCTGACTCATATTTCAACTATATATAAAATATATCAGAAATTATGGGATATGGTCACTGATATTTTTTTGAAGTTGCCTAGGATCAGTAGTATCTGAAAAAAATATCAGCGATGATATCCCATAATTTCTGATATATTTTATATATAGTTGGAATATGAGTCAAAGTGGTCAGAATTTCTGCATATTGCTGTATACAGAATATATTTATAAGACAAGAAATAAAGTTTGACTGTTTGCTTAGGAGGATAGATAGGAAGAAAGAAGGAAACAAACTGGTAATCAAACTTTATTTCATGTTATCTTATCAATCAATCAGCTTCCTYATAAATAAAGTTTAGAAAACACACCTGTGCAAGTAATTAAGATATCAATATGCTTGACAAGTTCTTCAATTTTGACACATTTAAAGCCATCCATACTGSAAATAACAAACAATTGGTTAAAAAACATCATGACAACTAGTATGAATATAAATTTTGATTTGAGTATCTTTTGTTATACAGCTTTCGACCATGAAATTCCTTAGCAAATATCCAATATGCTAGAGTGTACTCATCTTCCTTTCCCAAGACTGAAAGCTTAGTAAGTACTGCATTGTGTGTTGGAAAGACTTATATCAATGACTGAACTCACCATGCTTGTAAAGCACAAATTGGATCAATTTCTGTAACATAGACGATAGCACCAAGACCTTTGAGKGCAAAGCAGCACCCTTTACCAACTTCTCCATATCCACAAACTAGCACTTGCTTTCCACCAAACATCACATCAGTGGTTCTCTTTAAACTAAAAGATATCAAAATATAATAACTTTATTAAAATCTTATTGTACTACTAATTGAGCTGAAACAGACACACACACAACATACTGGGAAAACAAGAAAAGACATTCATAATATATGTTGCTGAATCAAAATGGACAGACCAATGCATAAGCCACTTGTGCTAACTTAAGGTAACTATGGTTACCCTTGCTCAACATTTGGTATTCTCAACAACTTTTGACTCAAATAGCACTTTCTTCAAAACAGATATTTCTCAAGAACATGGGTTTTAGTTGGATTTAATAGACTGTGTAAARAACAATCATTTTATTTGCTAATATGTTGGTATGACAAGAAGCAATCTTACAACCTTGTCACTTACCTATCTAAAATAGATTCCCTACAGCAGTACAAATTATCAAATTTTGTCTGGAAAAATAGTGGGACAATGTATAAATTTACACATAAAGCTAACAAGATTCTTCAATAATTCCATTCAAGGACTAGTGACTAGTCACAAACTCAATACAATTTGAAGCAATCAAAAAACGGGAGAATCTATGTAGCACTCAGTTGATGTAATATATTCATAAAGATATCAACTGCGTGCTACGTAGGTCACCCCATCAAAAAACAGACACCAGGACAAGAAAGAGCATACTAGTAAAGCTGCTGGGTTTGAGAGTATTCGGATTAATAATTACAGAGTTCCAAGCGTTTAAAACTCGAAAAAACTACAAAGAATGTATGGAGGTTTTGAGCAGTGTCCCCAAAAAACATTCTCTTTTATTTTTACAAATTTGAAAAAATTCATACTCGATGAGTATTCAACCAAATATGCTCAAACTAGAACCCTTATTTTAGTGTGGTCTTTCATGTGGTGAGGTTCAGTTTTCGACAAATGTAATATTTTCACACTTGTTCCCAGTCTCCTTTTGAATTTTGGAATGGCCAATTGCATGAATCACTACCTCTAACTCACCTTAGTTACAGAATCATTTACATTCATTGCTGGTACTGTTAATTTGCTTTGTTTTGATAACTGATACAACCTACAGWGCAGAAATTAGATTTTAACTCAAATGTTTTGAAATTAATCTAGCAACACACAAATTTATCTTATGATATAAAGAAAGATGGTAGTCAAATATAAATTTTCTATATTTTTTTGATTAAAGTTTGTACAGTTACAAAAATGTATTCCCTTGATACAGGTTACAACTTGGATTTTAAAGGAGTTTCTAAACTTCATTTTCATCATAAAGACGAAACTAGTTTTCCTCTCTGTTTTCTGTGCGTCAAAGGAGGGATAAAAGTATTTTGACATCTTCTACAAAAATGCAGTCACTACACATTAAAAATAGCAATTCTTTACCTATGAACACCAGTAACACTTTCTTCTACAATTCCTTTCAGTGTATTAAATGTACCATTAAACTTCTTATACATGAGATGAGTAGCATCACCACCRTCATCAAGTACCATATTAGGCTGATAGCCAGGTGCTGTGATACACTTCTCAATGCACCACCAGAAATCTTCCTCAGATTCACCTTTCCAGGCAAAGATTGGAAATCCTGCTTCAGCCATGGCCGCTGCAACTTCATTCTAAAACAAACAAATTCAGCAATTAAGAAAAGCTCACTTGCAGCTCACAAAATTCCCATAAAAGTCTCCCGCTCATATTTTATATTTTACAAAATGTTACCTGGGTTGAGTATATATTACATGCTGACCAGCGTATTTGAGCTCCTAATGCCGCTAATGTCTCTATCAGAACCTGGAAAAACACTGGATCTTAGTGCCATAATTTTTTTCACCTTATGAAGTGTTTTTTTGCTATTTTACACAGTAATTTCATCTGAATACAATGATTACTCACAGCAGCTTGTGCAGTTACATGTGTGCAAGCAACTATTTTAGCTCCTTCCAGAGGCTTGTCAGTACAATTACGCTTACGTAACAACATTAGTCCAGGCATTTCTATTGAAATTCAAAATAWAACAACATAAGAAATATTGGAAAATAAATACATTAAAACTATATTATTAAATGTAATTACAACAAATAAAGTGTGTTGCAATGCATTATTTAATAGTAAGATAACATATAAAATCTATGTTTTAATTGTACTCATAAACAAATAAGAATCCTTGGTTTGATCAACATTTGTTCAATTCTTCATGAAATACAATAGTCAACATGAAGATTTGCACACTTGATTTACAACCCAATGTTAATATAAGGATAATTGCTTGCTATCAMTCAGGCAATCAATCAAAAATGACAAAACATTTTGACAAAATATTAGGGCATCACACATTTTATATGTCACCTTCTTGTTGAATAACAATAATCTACGATACTAGAGGGGCTGAACCCCATACCWTCCCACAATTCCCTATAAGACAACTGAAATCATTGCTTGCCTTGTTCAGCTATTTCAATTTCCCTGCGGCCAAAGTCTGCGAGTTTAATGTTCTTAACGCAAAAATCACTGCTTCCTTTGCTGTTTTTCTGTTCAGGGTATACAAGAGAGATATTACACCTTTGAATCTATGTTKCTTTTATAATAACCTGCCAATTTGAATCATCCCATCAAATATAAGCACTAATTTTAGCCAGAATAAGCCAGCATGAGACATGATGGGAGAAAAATGTCATCTCATAATGCAAAGTGTTGTAAACAGAATTACAGTACTCTTATTATAACCATTTGAAAAATTTGTTATAAGGAATATCTTTTCTTGATCAGTATTACAATATATAATGACCAGTGTGTGATTAAGTGGCAAAAATCCAATACAGATTAGCAGTCTAGTCAGTGGTCAGATACCCTTCTTTCATCCTATGATTATGATTAAACAATTTCACAATTGAAAACTTTGTGTCCAATATCTGATATAGTAAGCAAACGTTGTCAATACTGTGTTAATTACATSGACCAAGACTGAAATCTCTTAGGAATAAAGGAGGCATATACTTAACCACTAATCCCATTATCATTAATAGCATATGMATTACATATTCCTTTACGAGATTAAACTGATGTAGAAATTAAAGTCCTCAATAAATTTTAGGTGACCTGAACCAGGTTTGTTCTTGGTGCACCAAATAACAACAACTCATTATACCTTAGATARTTTACAATAGTTTACAATAATTATTACCAAGGTCAATGAAGGTTAAACTAAGTTAGGAATAGCATTGGTATTYAAACAATTTTGTCGGATTTAGAACTAGGTCACATCAAATGAACATAAAATTTAATGAGCATCCAAGAGACATGTTTAATTTTGAACCAATCAAAAAGCAATTTTCAACAGCAGATTTTGTCTAATATAATAACAAAGACTCTTGGGTGCAAGTGAGCCTCTAAGCTGTTGCAATGTGATCCCGAAGTTGATAGACGTACATAACTTAGAGCAAAACTGGGTTGAGTCACCTGATTAACAAAAAATGAAGTTCTAAATGTTTAATTTTTAATAGTTTGTGGTTATTGTAAGTACTTGGAATAAAGTGCACTAATTATAGTTTTATGGTCAGATTCAAAAGTACTTAAAATACTGAGTTACACAATAATTCATATGATAACTACTGCGTAACCTTGTTTAATGTCCTTTCTTGTGCTTAATGTAAGAAAATGCAAACTTTTCTTTGCAGACAAAACACCATCTGAAAGTACTAGTACTGAGGTTCAAAAATATTTGGATGAATCAWTTACTTAGTGTGATGGTTTATCTGCAAAGGAGAGTTTGCACGACCAAAAACATCCAGACATGTGAACAGTGCCCTATTTATGCAGAGAATGCTTTCTGTGAATGAAAGCTACTGTCACCAATCTATTGGACAAGGCCATATGTTTAATATGACAACTTATGTCATAACCATCATTTCCATAATTTAAAAAAAAGAATTCAAGCAAGTGAGATAAATGACTGGAAATAAGGTAAAAAAGAAAACAAAGARATTGTTGAGACAAACAGCAATTGGACAAAGAGAACAATATGATATGTAGAATCTGAGAAATCTAGCTGTGAGTTTTGACTGTAAGAAAGCCACAAATATAGACATGTCAAAAACAATGTTGGGGATGTAGATGAATCCAACACATTAATTAACTAATAACAAACTTGTAAAACTTAGGCTTACAGGAAAATATTGAATATATATAACAAGCAGAAGTTATTTCATTAGATAAACAGGAAATTTCAATTTTGGGTGAGCTGCAATATTTGCAAAATATATGCGTGAAAAACCAGAAATCTACGATAACACTTGCAAACATGAAATGTAAAACTGATTGCAAATCAATTTGTCTATTTTTCTTGAGGGGATAATCAAAAACCCCATATACTATTTTTCTTTATGTTAAATCATTGTATTATAAACAAAGCTTTGTATATAAAAATGCGTTAAAATTTTTACTAGTAGTTGCACAAGTACGTCCATAGTTGAATTCCAGTCATCGCAGTTCACAGCAAAATGCACAATTTACCTGTGGTCGCTCTCTCGGCGATATTTCATCTTCATCTGAAGAATAACTGTCTGTGTAGCTGGCTGTCAGGACAAGAAGCATGGATTTTATTATAAGTGAAGCAAAAGCAAACAACATGAGCGTCTCTCGAGTAGAGACAAGCGACATGACAAAGTACACGAAGAGCGAAAAGCTACCTCCCAGAGCCGAAAGAACAGAAAAAAATTTCTTCCACAAAGCTTTTTTCACTAGCAAGCAAAACTTTGTGAAAATAATTGAAACAGGATGTAATACAATTGATTGCTGCAAATATTTCACTCCACTTTGTTATAAAATACCGGACTGCTATCGCGGAACAAGTAGGAAAAGCGTTGCAAATTAACTCRTATTTCTTGCTAACAACTTTCACAATCTTAATTCCAAAACCAATGCATGTTGTCTCCAATCCTTAATACGTTTTACGCCTTTATGTAAATTTATGTTCACCTGTACTTCCATAGCTATCTGTTGAAGAAACAGAGATGGAACGCCGACGAAGACGAGGAGGTCGCCTCGACATGCTCTCGGAGAAAGTCATGCCCTATGGTGAAAACACTTTCTTATAAGTAAAAAAACTGAGTGAAACTGAAAGCAAAAAGATAAAGCAATATTATCAACCTCCAAAGCCCTTAAATTGGGTGGCTTTTGAGCCGCTGCTGGAGATTTTTGTATATGATGTGTATGATCGGCTGACTCTGTCCCCGCCATATTGAACAGTGTGCCAAGAGCTACGCGCAGTCGAGGTTCAATGACCAAGAGACCGGAAATCACTTTTTTTTCTTGAATTCCTACAAAATATATTACTATATTTTCACCTACATTTCTCTGTGCAGTATTCCCTTTTGGACACATCGTTTTCTGAATTAAGTTGTGATAAGTAGACTCTTTAAATGCTTTTCTACTTGTAAATAATGACAAAGGAAATGTGCTTGGAGATACAAAAACCGGAACCGGAAATGGTTTGTATTCGTACATGAGATGTGCACATGATAATCAATCCACACGATTTTGAGTAAAAATGAAAATATGCAACAACCTATTGTAGTTTTCCTCAACCATATACTATAAAACACACGTTTTGTTGTTTTSACTGAATTTGAAATAYGTTTCTTATTTTTACATCTCATACAGATTGACGCTCGGATCCGCAAGTCGACAAGAGGTATAATTTAGGCAAATTCAATTTAATTTTTTATATATCAAAAATAATATAAAAAATAATAATATAACYATTAGAAGAAGAAGYAAAAACAAAAAACAAAACAAGGACAAAACAAAAGACAGGGAWWAWTTKGRAWKSSGRA